AGAAGCCAGAGATCATGGACCCAGATGCAGGTGGATGGGCAGAGGTGGTGATGGGAGTGTGCAAATGCTCTCTGCTGACTGCTCCTTTCCGCCTCAGAGAAATAGGAAGCAGGGTCACCAGTTGAGTTTGAGGAAGAAGTTTTGAGGCTTGAGAAAATGGAGTCTGAAAGTCCTAATTCGTTTTGAAGTGTGCCTGTGATGAAGAGTGAGGATCTGCAAAGCAAATATACTCGGTTTGCTAAAGTCTTTCCCTATTGTCTCCAATTGTTGCTAAAGTCTAATACCATAAAACAGCAAATACTAAGCCCCCACCCTCCTATTCCCCCACCCACCATGTTCTCAAAAGAATGAAAGGATTTGGAAGACAAATTCCTGTGAGACTTATTAGGAGGTAGCAGTACTGCTCTGTGGTCAGACCTCCCTTCTGCACATAAAGTCATGAGTCATAGTTCTGAAGGGATGTGGGGTGTGAGGTGGGGTACAGGAATGGGGAATCTTTCTTACCTTTCACAACATCTGGGTTTGCAGCGGAGACCGGTAACCTCATGAAGGTGATAGTGGCATCTATTTCCAAGTTAGCTGTCCCCTGGGCAACCTGATCTGTCCTCAGGGCCTATGTGAGCAGGGAATGTAAAGACAGTGGCAGGCCGGGCAGCTGTGACCAGGAGGGATGAGTTTCCCTCATGTTGAGTGGACCCCTCAGAAGACAGATGGTTTGAGCCTTTTTGAGCCTTTCAAACCAGTCATCTACCCATGAGGCCAGTCTTGGGGCAATATGGGGGAGAGCAAGGAGCCCCAGAAGAGGGAGGGGAGAAATGAAAGAGGCATCCAGGTCCCCTTTTCTCCTCTCAGTCTCTTTGGCCCAGGACTGACCTTGGTGGGGAGAAAAAAGAGCATGACATAGAAGTCTTAGAATTGATTAAACTGCACTGGGATTCCCACTTTTGGGTGTATCTCCAAAGGAAATACAGGATCTTGAAGGGGTATCTGCACTCCTGTGTTCACTGCAGCCTTATGCAGCATAGCCAAGATGTGCAAACAACCTAAGTGTTTTCAACAGATGAATGAAAAATCCCCTATATAATAAGAGGTAATATGCAAATTGACCATCACTCCAACACACAAGATGACCACCCCATGTGGACACAAGATGACCACCACAAGATGGCCTGCAGGGAGGGCAGTTAGGAGGGACTAAACCTGTAAGGGAGGGCAGATTGGGGCAATCAGGCATATAAAGGAGGGCAGTTAGGAGTTACCGGGCCAGTAGGGGAGGACAGTTGGGGGGGGGGACCCAGGCCTGCAAAGGAGGGCAGTTAGGGGCAATCAGGCCAGCAGGGGAGCAGTAAGGAATTGATCAGACTGGCAGGAAAATGGTTAGGGGGTGATCAGGCTGGCAGGCAGGTGAGTGGTTGGGAGCCAGCAGTCCTGGATTGTGATGGGGCCTAAATGGGCAGTTGGATATCCCTTGAGGGGTCCCAGATTGGAGAGGGAGTAGGCTGGGCTGAGGGACACCCCCAGTCTCCCTGTGCATCAATTTCGTGCACCAGGCCTCAAGTAAATAAAATTATTTCACACTTTATTTATGAGATAATTTTGCCAAGGCTGACCAGCAGCCCCTGAACAACAGATAAACAGATTTCTCCAACACAATTTCACTGTGGGGGAGAGGGCTAAGGGACTGCCTGGCTAAAGAAGTCAGGCAGCCCCAATTGCTCGCCTCGTTAGGCTTTTATTGGAATTTTTATCTTTAGATACAACCAGTAAAGTGTGTAATCTTGGGAGGACACATGTGTTTGCATTGTCCTCTAGGCAAGGGCATCTAGGGATTAAGCATAGGATTCCAGTAAACCCACGGGAGTCTGCAAGTGCACAGACTTGTTTGGAAAGGTCAAGGAATAATTAGGGGTGCCACCTTTGACATTCCCCTAAGTTTCCCCTAAGTCTGAATTCCGATAAACAGGGCAGGTGGCCTTCCACACACTTCCCCTTTATCAGAATGTCCACCTTAGAACTTCCCACTAAGTCTCTTGTGCTCCCCAACACATTCGTATATATGAAACTTGATTCATATTGGCATATATATCTATATTTATATTTATATATCTATATATATTTTCCACACACACACAACATGGATGGTCCTTTAGGGCATTATACTAAGGGAATAAGTCAGACAAGAAAGACAAATACTATATTGTATCATTTATATTCGGAATTTTTTTTTATTTAAGTCAAATTCATAGAAAGAGAGTAGAAAAGTGGTTGTCAGGCAACCACTTTTGGGAAAATAGGGTTGGGAAAAATAGGAAGAGTTGACAAAAGGGTACAAACTTTCAGCTGTAAGATAAATAAGGACCTGACTTAAAACATGGTGATTATAATTGATAATTGAAATTTATTAAGAGTAGAACGTAGATGTTCTCATACACACAAAAAAGATAAATATGTGAGATGATGGGGTGTTAATTAGATAAATAAAATCCTTTTATAATGTACAAATTATAAAATCACCACAGTGTACACTTTAAATATCTTATAATCTCTGTATATCAATTATACCTCAATAAAGCTGAAATTAAAAAACAAAAACAAACTGGACTGGGATGAACTGGATTGGGTTTTTAATACTCGCCACCCAACAACCCCAAGACCAAAAAACTGTGTGATCTGCCCAAGATGATGCTGAGGGTCAGGAAAAGCAGCTTCAAAAGAGAATGCATGAGGCTCAAGTTGGAGAAAAATAAAATCATTTCATGTTTGCTTCTTATTCAGAACATTCAACAAACCAATTACAAAACACACCACGCCTCACATTCCACTTGTTAAATACACTCTTCTGCCCTTTTCTATATTGTAAGATATAAGCATCTTGGGTCTGTTGTTTGACCAGTGCGAATAGAATTCAAGTGCTCCGCCTTGCAAATGCAGACTTTACCAACCACTTGTAGGACAAAATTCAGAAAGGGCCTTCCTGTCCAAAGTTGGCATAGGTAAGTGCTGTACTTGTGTCCTCCCACAACCACATCAAAATTACAACTAAACTCAGAAAAACCATCATTCAGAAACAACTGAAACCGAGCTGAATGAAAGTCTTACAAGGAAAGAATTAAAGAAGCCACGTCAAGATTGGTAGGAGGGGTAGAGACTCGGAACGGGTTGATCACACCCGTTAAAATCAGGAGAGTCCTGGCAGGTGTGCTCACGGTTAGAGCTTTAGCCCACACTACAAAGGGTCTTGCAAAACATACCTGGTTTGCAAGTTCACTCCCTGCCATGCCTCTGGTCAGGGCATGAGAGGGAGGCAACCAGTTGATGTGTTTCTCTCAGATCAAAGTTTTTCTCTCACTCTCTCTCTCTTCCTCCCTCCCTCCTGCCCTTTCACTTTCTCTGAAAAGCAATGGAAAAAAATATCCTCATGTGAGGCTTGACAACAAAACTTGGGAGGGATTTCAGCTACAAAGTTCCCCCCCCCCCCGCCCCCCGAGGAATGACAGGTCCCGCCCCACACCAGGCCCCCCAGGCCAGGATTCTAGTGTCAGGAAGAGAAGTCCCTACAACTTCCGGCTGTAAAAACCAGCTGGGATTGTGCCTGAATAATCAGAGCAGGTTTTATCAAGAAGGCCTATCTGAGATGGGTTTGAAGGATGAGTACAAACTTATCAGAAAATGAAGAGAGGGGTGATATATTCATTAGACATCATTAGCAGTGCAGCATGACCAATTTGTTATTTGTAAAGATAACTCTGGAGGGCAACGAAGATGGCAAGAATGGAGATAGGAGGCTGACCACATTCACGTAATACAGATGGATTACATATTTTCTGTGTGCTAGGTTCTGTACAGAGGAGAATAAAGACAAGTAAATAAGTAACAACAAACTAATAACACGTTAAGTGCCATGCCCAGGACCAGCATCTCCGTAGATGCGAGTAGCTTGGGTTGCAGAAATCCAAGTAAAAAATACTTGCTGCAAAAAGATAAAAGAGCCCTAACCGGTTTGGCTCAGTGGATAGAGTGGACTGAAGGTTCCCAGTTCAATTCCGGTCAAGGGCATGCACCTTGATGGCAGGTACATACCCAGTGCGGAGTGTGCAGGAGGCAGCTGATGGATGTTTCTCTCTCATCGATGTTTCTCTCTATACATCTCCCTTCTTCTCTGTGAAAAATCAATAAAATATATATTTTTAGAAAAGGTAAAAGAGGTGACAGATGTAAAGGATATTTAGGAGATAGAATCATCTAGCAGAATCAGCTGTGTACACTGCTGGCTGTTCCCATGCATCTTACAGCCTGCCACTGCAAGCATCTGAGTCTGTACTTGAAGGCATTAATGTTTGCCTCGCACAAGAGAAGCACCAGGGGCTTAGCAGTGAGGACTGCCAATGTCAGATGGAAGTTGGTGGATAAATACTCCAGGTCTGCTTATCTCTCACGGGGGGCAACCATGAGGAATGCCTTACAAAAAGGACCCACAAGGACCGAGTCCCAGCTGCTAACAGTGGTAACCTGCTCATTACTGCACCATGTACTGTCTCCCCACTCTTCCCTGTCTCACATCCCCATGGTCGTACCAATGCTCCCTGGTATCACCTCTCAAACTATCTGTACTCAAATCCTTGCCCCAGGTTCCACTTTTGGGGTGACTCAACCTAAAACAACAGAAAAAACTTAATGAAAGATTAGCTGATGAAAATGATGACAGAAATAGGAGGCTATGAGATTTCTCGCTTGGGAGATGCTGAGCCCATCACCCGAGTTAAAGACTCTTCAGGGGAGGAAGACAGACAGATTCCAGGAGAACAGAATGAGCCTAAGAAGACTGAATTTCAGGGGCCCCAGGGACTTGTTACCTCAAAATTCCCTGAGGACATACAAGGTTAAGACTCTTGACTTTGGAAAACGTGAAAAGAAACTGAGCAGAAAGGGGACTACGCAAGAGGAAAAAAACAAAAAACAAAACAAACAAACAAAACACCAGAAATGAACATCCTCTCTCCCTAAAGGGCAAAGAAGTCCCTATCTTCCTTCCACCCAAGAGAATATAAAGCCCTGGCTACTTCTTCCAGCCGGCTTCTGTATTCCAGTTTCTCATAGTTGGAGGGACTCACTCCTTTAAAACCATGCATGACTCCCCACCAGCAGCCAGCAATGGCAGCCGTAGAATCACTATCTCCGCCATGGAAAAAGGCTCGGTGGGCAAGCTCCTTCCAGGAGTCTCCTGCAGCCAGGATGGCATCGTAGGCAATCATGGGGGCATCGTGTCCACTGCTGCCGCCCCAGCCAGAGTAGCTCACAGAGCTGTAGAACTGATCCCTCTCCTTCACACCGTAGGGCTTGGGGAAGGTAGGGGCTGACTTGCCGTCCAAAATCCCTCTAAGTTTTAGGTACTTTTCCCATTGGTCTTGGAAGTAGGACCTGTAAGGAGGAAAAGAATCTACAGTCAATTGAAAAGTTGGTAACCACAAGGAAAGGTATCAGACGGATGTGTGAACAGGAAAAACACTCCAAGAGGTCTTCAACTTCTTATAATAATATCATCCATGACATTAAAAATTTAAAATGAACTCTAAGTAAGAGCCATTCAATAAAATTTTGCTAAGGATTGATATAAGCAAGGCTCTGATGCCTATTCCTAAATTAGAAAGGCAGATAAGCAAGTTAAAGGTGAGAATTAAAGATGTGTGAGGTTTGGGTTTTTTTTAGAATAATGTCAAATGTCACCTTTCAGGGGGCACACTTTATTTAGTCTACCCTTATACATTTTATTTTCTAATAAGAATTATATATATTTTAGGTGTACAACATAATGATGTGCTATACATATACATGGTGAAATGATTACTACAGTCAAACTAATGAACACATCATCTTCTTCTAGAGTTGTGTGTTGTTGGTTTTTTCAAAAGGGAACTTTGTAATATCATAATCATGGGTGATTTCGGCAGGAAGCCTCTGGACCTTTTTTATTCTAAGAAAGGCAATGTGAAGTAAACTCAGAACAAGGGGGAAATGTGGTTTTACCACTTACTAATTAGCTAGTAAAAACAAAAACAAAAAAAAAAAAAACAACCACCTATTTCTCAGGTATCTTAGATGAGGATTTCAAATTACTATGTGTCAAGTCAACACTGAAAAACAAGGTCCAGGAGATGAATGGGAAAATTCATCTCAGCCCATATATATATATATTATTGATTTTTTACAGAGAGGAAGGGAGAGGGATAGAGAGCTAGAAACATTGATGAAAGAGAAACATCGACCAGCTGCCTCTTGCACACTCCCTACTGGGGATGTGCCCGCAACCAAGATACATGCCCTTGACCGGAATTGAACCTGGGACCTTTCAGTCTGCAGGTCGATGCTCTAGCCACTGAGCCAAACCGGTTTTGGCTCATCTCAGTCTAGACAGCCACAAAGACTATAGGAAGAAGAGGATCCCTATACACGAGGGAAGCACTGCAGCTGCACTACTCATCAAGGTCTTCCCTGGGCCATCCGGTGGCAACCACTGCTAGGACTTGAAGTCCAGGTGGGCAGGGAGGGGGCCGGATGCAGTAGACGACAAAACGGGATGGTGAGAACCATGACAGTAGCTATGATCTAAGAGCTCTAGGCACACACAGGCACGCATGTGTGCACACAGACGCAACGATTTTCCAGCAGGAGTATGCACCTATAAACTTACCAGTGCTCAAGATTCTGCTCCACGAAGTAGCCTGCTTGGACAATGTACTTCTTAGCTTCTGGCAGCACCTCCATCAGTCCTTGTCCCCACTGCCAGGGAGGCTTGCCATTCACAGCACAGGCTGTGAAAAGAGCAGACACAAGGGCACCCAGGTAGCCGGTGGGGTGGTGGTGGGTCATCCGGCCGCTCTCGATGCTCACCTGGATCAGCGTGTCCAGCTGGCTGGGGTGAGGGAACCTGAGGCCGATGCACATGGCTCGCATAGCGGCCCCACAGCCACCCTCGTGGTTGTTAAAGGGAATCCTCCAGCCGTTGTCTTTGTCCGGCTCCAACAGCATGGCGTTCTTCACGGAGGCACCTCCTGGGGAAGAGTCGGGAAGGGCATAGGGTCAGTGTAGCCAGAGCAAAGGCTCGGCAGGAGGAAAGACCGAGCTCTGGTTCCAAGTCTCTTTAATGGAAACTGGAGGGAAAAAATTATGATGAACACCCTCAAACTCCAAGCCAACATTGTGCCTTACCTTATATACAACCCTTAGCCTGTTAAGATTAATAATAAAAGAAGCAGATTCGTGTAGAGAGCCTGGGGATCTTTGCCAGTTATTACTGAGAAAGCACAGGAACTCAAAAAGGTAAGTAAAAAACATATTATTCTCTTTTTTAAATGAATAAGCTAAGGCTTAGAGCTTAAGAACATTGCTCAAAATCATGTAACCAGCTCATTAGCAGCCCCATCAAAACCTTTTCCTCCAAGCCCAATCCCTTAAAGACCCCAAGGAGATCCTAACAATTGGAATTCCCAAATGTCAGAAAGAGGACAGCTGGAGTGAAGAGCACTAGGCTCAGAGGACGGAACAATGGGTTCAGAGCCACAATGTGCCCTTGGTTTCTCCCCCTTCCCCCATGTGAGAGCCGTGTAATCAGGCTTGTCTTATCACCCTATCCTACTGGGAACTGGGAATGCACACATGAAGAAGCAGTGGCAGTTATATATGGTGGGGTGTGGTGTGGTATTACTGTTCCCTTATGGTTAGTTATTCACAACAAGGTCATGGAAGGCATAAGTGGGCAAAGAAACCTTTCCACTTGTCAATCGGATGAGATATCTACAGACTATCTTCGAATGTCAATTCTTGGGGTCACCAGAGACCCTGGGTATGTGTGTGGGACAGGGAGCATTTTCATCAGAAGGCACTTTTCATCAGCTCATAAGCTGAATTGTGTCCCCTAAAATTTGTAGGTCCTAATCCCTAGGACCTCAGAATGTGGCTGTTTTTTAAAGAGACTGGACCTTTAAAGAGGTGATGAAGTTGAAATGAGAACATCAGCCCTACCGGTATGGCTCGGCCTTGGGACTGAAGGTCCCAAGTTCAATTCCGGTCAAGGGCATGTACCTTGGTTGCGGGCACATCCCCAGTGGGGGGTGTGCAGGAGGCAGCTGATTGATGTTTCTCTCTCATCGATGTTTCTAACTCTCTATCCCTCTCCCTTCCTCTCTGTAAAAAAATCAATAAAATATATATATTTTTTAAAAGAAATGAGAACATCAGAGAGGGCCCTAATGCAATGTGATGAGTATAAGAAATCGGGACACACACAGAGACACCGGGATGTGCTCTGTGAAAGAGAGGACACAGATATAAGGAGGTCGTCTGCAAGCCGAAGAGAACTGCCTCAGAAGAAGCCAAACTTGCCGACACCTTGACCTCAAACTCTGAGCCTCGGAAACAGTGAGGAAATAAAGGTTCATTAAGCCACCAGCATGTGGCATTTTGTGATGGCAGCTCAAGCTGACTAATACAGGAGGAGGGGCAGGTCAGATGGGCTTGGTAAAGGTGATTTAAACCACCTGGTGACCCAAGTGACTGCAACAATTTCCCAAGCGGGCAAGAACACTTGAAGCAAACCTGAAACAAAAGGAGTCTCTGCAAGACATTTTCCATTTTCTTTAAAAAGAAAATAAAATGTTTCCTTTATACTTGTTCATTATAGAAAACTTAGAAAATACTAATAAGCAAAAGAAAATAAGAAACTATAAATACTCCCACTACACAGATATAATTATGAATATCTTTATGTGTGTTCTTCCAGACTTCTCCCAAGAAATGTACATGTATCCTTTATTACAGGTGAATTTATAAAGTACATCTGGATTTGTAATCTATGTATCTTTCATTTAATATATAATATTAGAGGCCCAGTGCATGACATTTGTGCAGGGGGGAGGGTGTCCCTCAGCCCAGCCTGCACCCTCTCCAATCTGGGACCCCTCAAAAGATGTCCATCCAGGTAGGATCAGGCTTAAATGGGCAGTCATACATCCCTCTCACAATCCAGGACTACTGGTTCCCAACTGTTTGCCTGCCTGCCTTCCTGATTGCCCTTAACCACTTCTGTCTGCCAGCCTGATCACCCCCTAACCACTTCCCTGCCAGCCTGATTGATGCCTAACTGCTCCCCTGCCAACCTTTTTGCCCCCAACTTCCTTCATCTGCCGGCCTGCCACCCCTAACTGCCCTCCCCTGCAGACTTAATCACCCCCAACTGCCTCCCTTGCAGGCCTGGTCCCTTCCAATTGCCCTCCCCTGCTGGCCATCTTGTTGCAGACATCTTGTGTCCACATGGAGACAGCCATCTTGCGTATTGGAGTAATGGTCAATTTGCATATTACTCTTTTATTATTAATAGATAGGATAGAGGCCTGGTGCACAGGTGGGGGCCAGCTGGTTTGCTCTGAAGGGTGTCCCGGATCAGGGTGGGGCTTCCCTTGGGGCATGGGGCAGTCTGGGCCAGGGGCCTGTGGTGGTTTGCAGGCCAGCCACGCTCCCCGGGTAACCCAAGTGGAGGCCCTGGTATCTGGGATTTATTTATCTTCTATAATTGAAACTTTGTAGCCTTGAGTAGAGCCAAGTCTCCTATTTGCTCTGTGGCCACAGCCATTTTTGTGGGATTTATTTATCTTCTATAATTGAAACTTCATAGCCTTGAGCAGAGGCCAAGGCAGGCCAGGGCTGCGGAAGCTTAGCTTCCTCCATCACCAGGGGAAACTCAAGCCTGCTGCTCTCTCCAGCTCCATGGCTGCCACCATTTTTGCTGGGATTTATCTATCTCCTATAATTAAAACTTGTAGCCTTGAGTGGAGTCCGGGGCCTACCAGAGCAGGCAGAAAGCTTGGCTTCCTCCATTGCCAGGGAAACCCAAGCCTCCTGCTCACTCTGTGGCCACAGCCATCTTGGTTGTGTTAATTTGCATACTCACTGATTGGCTGGTGGGCATGGCTTGTGGGTGTTATGAAGGTACAGTCAATTTGCATATTGCTCTTTTATTAGGTAGAATCCTTTCAGATCAGAAAATATTTATCTGTATAATTTTAAGTGGCTGTATATGTATCGCCATAAATAAATTATGGGACTTTTTTTTATCACAATTATAAAAACTACTGTCTCCTTGATATATAAATCTCTGTGTCAACATTAATGACTTCCTTGGGCCTGTTTTATTCTCTACTTGCCAGACCTACACTGGCTGCCCTCACCTGGTGCTCGGCCATCCATGTCTTTCATGCAGTCTTGGTAATGCTTAGCAAGGAGGGGATACAGTCGACCCAAGTCTGAGACTTTTCCAGCTTCCACAAGAGCGTCGGCCGTGGCCAGGTGCATCACGGTGTCATCGCTGACTCTCCACCCCTGCACGTCTATGGCGTCCAGGCCACCAAGCTGGGCCAGCTGCTGGTGAATCTTCTCCCCACTCCTGAGGAACTCCCACGACCCATTGAAGTACCCCAAGGCATCTCCTGCTGCACTCAGCACCATGGCAGCCACATACCTCTCAATCAGTCCCCCACACATGGTGAGGCTGTCTGCAGGGGGAAATTAAGAACCACAGAGGACAAGGAGAAAGGAAAAAAAAAATCAGAAAAAAGAACAGATTTATCATTTTATTGAGCATTCACTACTTGAAGGCACTGTATTAAGTGCACCTTATTTAATACTCACAACTGCTCTGTGAGGAATGTATTATTAGGCCCATCTTACGAATGTATTAAATGAGGGCTAAGAGATAATACTGTTTCAGAAATGCTAAGTGACTTGTCTTGGGTCACAGAGCTAAGCTCATGATTTTAACTACCACTCCATCTTTGTCTCTCTGGGAGTGTCAAGCCCATTACATTCTACAAGGCAAGCCAAGCTTATCATTTTCTTTTTAGCGGGGATTTGGCCTTGGAAGTGCTTTCCTCCTTTACTTAAATAATACTTCTCATTACAATGCACAGTTCACAAGGCACCTGAACGTTCGCTGTCTCATTTTTTTTTAGGCAAGATTATAGTACGCATTTCACAGATAAGAAAACTGAGGATTTCCCTAGCTGTTTTGCTCAGTGGTTAGAAGGGTCTCGGTTTCGATTATTGTCAACGGCATGTACCTTGGTTGCAGACTTGACCCCCAGCACCAGTCAGGTGCATGCAGGAGAAAACCAATCGCGGTATCTCTCTCACATGGATGTTTCTTTCTCTTTATCTCTCTCCCTCTCTTCCACTTTCTCTAATGCTCGATGGGAAAATGTCCTTTGATGAGGATTAATTTTTTTTAAAGACAGGAAAAAAAAAACAAACACAAAAAAAACCCTGGGGCTCAGAGAAGGTAAATTAACATAACCAGCGACTGGAGGCACTGGGACCCCAATCTACTGATTCCAGGCAACTCACCCAGCACAGATCTACTCACTGGGCAATCTCTTTGTGCCTCAGCCTCTACATCTCTAAAATGGTGATAAAAATAGTAACAATTGCATGAGTTTGATCTGAGGAGTAAATAAATAGATTTTTTTTTTGTTAAGCACTTAGACCAGTGCTTAGCACATCATAAGCACTATTTGTATTATTCATACTAGAGGCCTGGTGCACAAATATGCAGCGGGGGAGAGGGATCCCCTCAGCCCAGCCTGCACCCTTTCTAATCCAGGACCCCTTGAGAGATGTCCAACTGCCCGATCCTGGGGATTGGGCCTAAAATGGCAGTCAGACATTCATCTCACAATCTAGGACCACTGGCTCCTAACTGCTCACCTCCCCCCCCAACCCCCCTCCCCCCCCCCCCCCCCCCGTCTGGTCGCCCCTTACTGCCACACACACACACACACACACACACACACACACACACCGCTGGCCTGGTTGCCCCTCACTATCTCCCCTCCCTCCCCACTGGCCTGTTCACCCCCCACAGCTGTTTGGTCGTCTGTTTGGTTGCGATGGTTGCTTAGGCTTTTATTATTATAGATACAACCAGGGAAAAGATTTTTCTCTTACTGAACGGGAATACTTTCTTCTCACAACCTTCCTTTCAATAACAACATTTAAATGTTGTTTTTCTTCTAAATGATTACCTTCTAGAGTCCTAGGAGCTCAGCTAAGATAACCTCCATGAATCTAAGTCCTGGTTCTCCTGCAGGTGCGTTTCCAGTTCTCCACTGTCTCCTGGTGCCTCAACGCTCAAGTTCTAGGTCTCACGTTGAAAGCCTTTACTGGACCCTCCACTGCATAGGCCAGCTAAGCACCCAATAAACTAGCACCTCCTCAGCTCAAGCTCTTTCCACACCCAAGATGCCCACCCTCCCTCCCACTTACCCAAACCCTGTTGACTCAGGGTTTACAGTTCCTGTGCTGGGGCTTCCAAGAGTCCTTCCCGAGCTGCACCGCAGGCTGGCCAGCACCTGGGGAAGAGTGAATGAAGGCTGAGCCTATCAGTCCTGAGCTTGCTGAGTTTCTCAGCTCCCAAAGGACATTTGTAAAACGTTAGTTACATGCTTTATTATTATAAGTGATGCCTAGAAACTGGAGTTACGGGCCACTAGACCTGAGTCTGCCAAGAATCAGCTGCGTGATTGTGGGCAAGCCACCCCCACCCTGGGCCTGGATTTTCCCAACTTGTACTATTAATCAGAGAGGGGGAGGGGGTGGAAGGAGGCCACAGGTGCTCGCTGGGCTCCGGTCCTGCGCTGGCTGCTTCACAGGGCCAGTGTTAGTCCCTCTGGCCCCATTCTCCCAATGTCCTCAGCTTCCTTTCTGTGGTTCCTCTGGCTCCACCCAATATGTGTTTTGTGACTTACAAGCGGGGAATTGGAGGGAAGAGGGGGGGGGACACACGACAATGACCATCTCTTTCCGCTGGAAAATCCTTTTAACTTTCACAAGGAACAGCCCTAGCCTTCCGCTTTCAGGCCGCGCTCACCCCTTACATTCCTCGGAGCATTTACAAGTCTCTCCCCGACTATAAATTCGAAACTAAGGTTGCTCAGCTGTTTCCAGACAGACCTCAACTTCTTTCTGAAGGGGCGGGCGGGGGGGGGGGGGGTGCGGGAACACGCCCGCCCCAGACGGGATGGGGGAGAAGGGCGACCCCGAAACGCTGCGCCCGAGTGCACCAGGTCCCCGGGGAGGTGGGGTGACCGAGCACCCGGGACAAGGCCGACACAGGGAAGGCAGGAGGAAGAGGGAGAGCTGGTGGGACCTGGTCAGCGCCGGGAGAGGGGCGCCGGGGGCAGAGGGCGGGGGAGGAGCGGGCAGGGGAGGGGCGGGAGAGGGGCGCAAGGGGAAAGGGAAAGGAGGGAGAGGGGTGCGCGGGGGGGAAGGGGGGGAAGAGGTGAGAGAGGGGAGGCAGGGGAAGCGGGAAGGAGAGGGGCGTGCAGGGCGAGAGGGCGGGAGCGGAGCGCGCACGGGAAGGGCGGGAGAGGGACAGAAGGGGAGAAGGCGGGAGAGGGGAGGCAGGGGAAGGTGGCGGGAGAGGGACCGAAGGGGAAGGAGGCGGGAGGCAGGGAGGACAGCAAGGCGGGTACCTAATGGCCGAGGAGTGGGGACGCGGGACTGGGGCGGGTCGCGGCGAGTTCCGGATCCGGCGGGTGGCACCGGGCGGCCGGGATTCCGGCTTTGCCTCGGGCGGAGCCGCGTTCGGGGCGAGCACCGCGCAGAGAAGCCAACGGAGCGGTGCCTTCTGCTCCCGCCCCGCGGTCTCCGGCCCCGGGAGCGGCTCCCGCCCCGCGCCCGGGGGAGGAGAGGGGACCACGGGGCCTGCTCACCTGCCGCCGGGCCGGGAGGCTCGGGCAGCGACCCCGGATCCGGCTTCCCGTCGGCGGCTCCCGTGGGCCCCGGGCCGAGGCCTCGTCTTCCCGCCGGCTGTGTGGCCAAACACTTAGAAAAAGGGCCTTTTTCAACTTTCTGGGCCCCTCACCCGTGAAGGCGGACCAGAACAGTACTCCCGAGGGTGGCTGCTAGGATTCATTTTAACTCCTGGCATTTATTTGGCAGCTGAAGATTGTTTTTCATCCTGCTAGTAAATAAAAGCAAAGAAATACTAAGAGTACTTTTGTCTAAATAAGTGGACGTGCCAGTTTTTTTAAAAAAAAATTAGAATCAACATATATGTGTACTGAGAAGAGATTCGGGCTAGAATGAAGAACAGAGCATTTGTAAGAGCAAAAGCGGACAGAAATCTGCGGCAGGCGGCAGGTCCATTCTCGGAAATTCCAGACTGCAAGCCCGCAAGGGCCCGAGGGCTGACCTTGAGCAGGGGTTTTCAAATGGTTTTCACACTGAATATTTGCTGCAAACAAAGCCTTACCTAAGGCCCTGGGTGCGTGGTGAAGGGGATGGGGAGGCTGGACAGGAGTCCCCTCTCCCCTGTAGAAGATGGGGGTTGGGGCGATAGGGTGGGGCAGCCAGGAGAGAGGGCGAGCCCTGGGGAGAGCAGTGGCTGATCTTTACTCACAGGGACAGAAGGGCTTCAATATTTTCAGGACGGCGTGTTCATGCCTGTGTGGCTGGGCCAATGAACTCATCTTTCACAGCAGGAAGTCAATCTAGACACACAAAAATGAGATCTCCTTGAAGAGAATAATAATGCCTTCAATCTTTAATGTTCTCACAATTTCTTTTCCTTCATCTTGAAGTCATTTTAGGGGAAGTGCCTCTTGTCTAGAGGAAATATTTTATACGAATTCAGCAATGCCATCAACATGTCTTTCTCGTTTGTGAAATTCAAGTAAAATTAAATTTAAAATGGTTTCCGAAATGTGATTGTTATCGTTTTATAAAACTATCTCTACCTATCTGAAGAAAAACAAATCTGTGGCCGGCAGTTAGACACAGTAGCAGAGCAAGGACAATGGGCCCGGTACAGAGGTCGCCAGAGCAGAAAGCCCCAGGGGCCTGGCGACAGGCAATTGGAGGGTGGGACCTCACCCTCAGTTTGACCTTTCCTCCCCTAGCAAATCAATGGTCCTGCAGTTTGGACCCCCTAACCTTTCCTTCTAGAGATAAGCTCTAGGCCTCCATTGTATTTCAGCTCAAGGCCGAGAAAAGCAACAAAACCAGACTGCAGGCCCCCATGGCTGACCTCAGGACCAGCTGCATTGAATAATGACCCGCTGCCCAGGCACCAATTAATCAATCAGTGGAGACCTAGACTCTGAGAGGGCACACCCGGGAAATTGCTGAATATTCTATTGAGATCATCCCTGGGGATTGCCCCTAAAATCTCCACCCTTAGGACAGAGGACCCAGCTTGTTCTCCCTTTCTCCTTCCTCTCCCCTTTCCCTCCCCCAGGCATTACCCAAGCTCCAAGGGCCCTTTCTTTACCTCTGTAACTTGTTTCTTAAGCCCATCTCTTCTACAAATTACTTCTTCCGCCTCTGTGATTTTATAAATAAACTAGAGGCCCGATGTCGAAATTCGTGCAAGGGGCTCAGCCCTCACCACCGCAGCAGCTTGCCTCAGCCCTCGCAGCCCCAGCTGCTCCAGAAGGACATCTGAAAGGTGGTTCAGTTCTCGGGTCTAATTAGCATACTACACTTTT